CACGTACGTCAGCCGTACAAAGAAACCCAGTGGCTGACCTTTCCTGCTTGGTCATGCCGTGCCTTGAAACTCGATAAGTGCACTTTTTTGCAGAGAATTCCAGCGTACGAAAGCGTAATTCTAATCATGCAATAAATCATCTAGATTGGGCAGTTTTTGCACGTGTGTGTGTGTGTGTGTGTGTGTGTGTGTGTGTGTGTGTGTGTGTGTGTGTGTGTGTGTGTGTGTGTGTGTGTGTGTGTGTGTGTGTGTGTGTGTGTGTGTGTGTGTGAGAGAGAGAGAGAGAGAGAGAGAGAGAGAGAGGAGAGAGAGAGAGAGAGAGAGAGAGAGAGAGAGAGAGAGAGAGAGAGAGAGTGAGGTGACGCAGCGCGCGCGCGTGTTAGAGTGGAAGGCTAACACAAGAAAATAAGAGACAAGAACACAAGTTATAAAAAAAAATAAATACGAACAGTTCTACAAAACTCCGTCCTGAAGGAGACGCTCAAAAGGTCAGAACAACTTAACGGAATGAATAAGTTAAAAGGGTTAGCCCGGCCACATGCAGCCCACGAGGTTACCCATTCATTACTCATGCCGTGAGTAACTTCCTTCTGCCCAGGGACAAGGAAGTCACCGAGTGCGGAAATTTCTCTCGGCACTTTTCTGGCCAGCGTGAAAGAAGAACGAAGAAATCGGACCCAGAAAAATGCCAGCGATTCAACGAAGAAAATGACAGAAGGAATCGTTACACCACGTGACCAGCTGGTGTCTGCCTTGGCATTTCGAGCGGCCGGCGGCGCCGCCAAACGTGTCCCGCTCATGCTATTGTGCTCGGCGCCGCCCTCGCCGCCCATCCGCGCCTTTGTCTATCTACTTGCAGAGGCACGCAGGCATAGGAATACACTGTACATACACATGCTTGCGCGGACTGACACGCCGGTAGATGCACATAAGCAATGCCCACATAAAGGCACAGCCTTCATATATGCGTATATCACCTCCTCACGCCCTTTACATAAGCAAACCCAATAACCCACATATTTACAGAAGCGCGCGCGCGCGCACAAGCACACACACACACACACCCCGCAGGGAAACGGGCACGTGACCTTCCGGGCGTGAAACTGGCGACGGCGCTGAATTCCTTGATTTTCGTTTCCGGTGTCTCGCGATCTCGTGCTTTATTCGATTCTGTGTTCGTGTTATCGCTCCAGTTATCGCCTTTTGTCTTGACGTGTCTCTTTTGTTCAGATTCAGCGACGGCGAGTTTGTCATTTGCTCTTAAGGAAAATTATCGCCAAGGTCCCTGTCCAAGAACGTCCAATAATCATCCCTTCAGTCATCGCCAAAATAATGCCCTTTCATAATAATAACAATAATAATTGTAAGAATAATAATAGTAGTAATAGTAGTAGTAGTAGCTGTAGTAGTAATAATAGCAATAGTAATAGTAAGTAATCGTAAAAATTATAATAATAATAATAAAAATAATATGATAATAATCGTAGTGCCTCCCTTCATAACAATCATATCGTCATCCTCCCCAAGCCCCCTCATAACCACCACCATCACCACCACTAACAGTCACGATGCCCAACGCTCATCGCCACAGCCTTCACCCTATCGCCAAATATCGTCCACATCCACGCCCGCGATCACGACTACAGTCACCAGTTTGTTTGGGCGTGGGTGGGGGGGTAAGTGAACGCCCGAATACAGACTCATGGGCGGGCGGGTGGGCGGGTGGGCGGCCAGACAGACAGACAAATAGACATAGCAGCGGGCGTTCCTCACGACCCGACCGGCACTTCCTGTCAGCGACACCCACGATCGGACAGACAGGCACTCGGAAAAAAAGACAATGGCACGGATACAGCTCCTCTACACACGGTAGATAGATAGATGATAGATAGATGATAGATAGATAGATAGATAGATGATGATAGATAGATAGATAGATAGATAGATATAGATAGATGGAAGGATGGATGGAGGATGATAGATGGATGTGTGGATGGATGGATGAAGGGATGGATGGAAGGATGGATGGATGATGGGATGGAAGGATGATGATGATGGATGAGATGGATGAAGGGATGGTGGATGGATGAAGGATGGATGGATGAAGGGATGGGTGGATGGAAGGATGGATGAATGAATGGAAGGATGGATGGATGAAGGATGGGTGGATGAAGGATGGATGGATGAATGGAAGGATGGATGGATGAAGGGATAGGTGGATGGAAGGATGGATGGATGATAAGGAAGGATGGATGAAGGGATGG